TTCACATACATTAGAGACAAATTTAGCAGCACAATTTAGATCTCCAGAAAGTTTGCTCACAGATAACAAATTACAGTCCAAATTTGGGACATATAGAACGGAATAAAGAGTCAAATATGGTGAAAAAACAACAGAACCCATTCCTGCCAATTTAGAGATGGACCCGTCAACAATTATAATTGTAAACCCTTTCTTACACGAGCTGTATTGCTGGAGCAGTGAAGCATCACCCGTCATGTGATCGGATGCCCCGGAGTCCACAATCCAAACTTGTTTTTTTGTAGAGCAAGCTGATAAACCAAGGAGAATTTTACCTTTATGTGCTACCGAAGCACTGATGAGATGATTCTTCTGAGAAAGCATTCTCTAGAGAGTGTCCACCTGTTCTGGACTAAATGGACAACTTTTTGCAGCAATCAGTAGAGTATCTTCAAAGGTTGCATAATTCCCTTGGTGGTTGTTGGGGTTTTCAGACTTCGAGGGCTTTCTGTAACCAGGTCTTCTATGAAGTTTCCAGCATTTTTCGCGTATGTGACCGGGTTTCCTGCAATGGTCACACCATGGTCGTCCCCTCTTCCCACGAGAATCCAGTGTTCTGGTTGTAAGCGCAGAAGCGTTTTCAATTAGGTGAGTGGATTGTGTGTCTCCCATCATCACTTTCTTTCAGGTTTCTTCCTACCGAATCTCGAAGAACACTTCGTAGATGCTTGGCAGCAGTTTGATTCCGAATACCCGTCATTGCACTTCATTCAGGTTTTTGTTTAATCCCATTAGGAACTTGAAAATTCGTTTATGCTCAATAATCGATTTGAAGAGTTTGGCATCTTCAGGATAGCTCCAACGATGTTCTTCAAACGCGTCAAGTTGCTACCAACTGCGATTTAGAGTATTGTAATATTGGGTTACATTTAACTCACCTTATCGCAGGTCACGGAGGCTGGACTCAATTTCGAAGATGACAGAAGTATTCTCCTTACTGGAGTAGAATTCCCGAGACGCTTCTCAGATTTTATGCGCAATCTCGTCGGGTAGAAAATTCTCTCCAATTTCGGGCGTCATCAAGTTTACTAACCATGACATAACCATGTTATTTTGGATTTTTCATGTTTGGGCATTTGGATCGTTGGCAGGTGGAGGTACGATTTCTTCGATGAAGTATTCATCTCGGCCTTTGCCCCCGATGAACAGCAGCACCATTGATGACCACTGGAGATAGTTGTTGCCATTTACTTTGTGCCCAGTAATGAATGACGAAAACTGTTCAACCAAACCATGGTTGATGGGTGCGGGAAGATAGGAACCCGAGAAAACTTCGGGTGGAGAAGACGGTAGCTCACCCGTGACCATCTGTGACTTCAGCTCAGTCGGGATGAAGCTCCTAGATCAGAATTGCTCTGATACCATGAAGTTTTGAGAATAGAAAAATTCTCTTCTACTTGTCTTAGTTCCTTCACCATGAGGTGCTTATTTATAGGAAAGGAATACAACCAATTCTAACAGCTTTATGGGGGAAAGGAATAACAATATATAACACCTTAACCATTTGATGATTCCTCCCACTTGGCAAACATAAATTAAATCACATTCCCTTCTATGATTTTCTACACAATCATAAAGATTCCTGATCACATTAACAGTCCACTTCCCTCCGTCCTTCCTTCCTCCATAAGTTGCCTCTACAGGGCTATAAATTTTTAACAAATCTCATAAAGGAGCTAAGTCGCATAATTAGAATATGGTCCTAATTAATGGCCTTATATTCCAAACAAATTTTTTCCTTTTCGTTTTTCTAGTAATTGTCCTTTCATTTGTTCTTCATATGACTCATCCGTAACACCATCTACAATCTCAAGTCCAAGATCGTTAAAGGAACAAGCAAAGGAGCAATCCTAAATCATGGACACTCAATGCTTGAAGCTTTTCCTGCCTTCATGATCTACTTTGACTCCTAAGGACTCAATATTGATCTCTTAGAGCTAGGTACTCTAGAACCATAAGAGAATTGCTCAAATGCTTTATCAAATTCCAAGGCGTGCATATATTTTGGCAAGGTCACAACGACTAGCCTTCCTAAAAACTAGGATCTGATAACTTTCCTGATCTAATAATTTTAGCAAGGATAGACATGCCTAAACTGATAATCCTGAGTTAAAGATAATCTTAAATGCACGCATGTGAAGCATGCTAAGCAAGATTTCTTATAAAGCTGAACTTATCCCCTCTGAGTGCCACTTTTATACACTTGTGATGCAAACAAATCACTTTCATTCTTATCAGCATGTGTAACACATCTCATAAAGGAGTTAGTCACATTATCGAATTTTGAATTTTGAATTCCAATTCCTTTCCATTTTTCAAATAATTGTCCCCTTAACTTGTTCTTCATATTAATCACTTGTAGAACCATACATTAGAACTCATTGATAAGACCACTAAAAGCTTCAAAAAAATTCAGCTGCTTCCTATACTGTCCTAAACATATTAAACCTGTAACCATCTGCTCCAAAACTTGTTTGAGCATCACATAAACTTAAAATACTCTCTTAAACTTCAAAGCAAGCTGAAATGTTTTACATAGCATACCTGGAGCCAGATATCCAAATGTTCCAGCAACAATGGTTGTAATGTGAGATTCTTCATCCTCTAACAGTTTGGCAAGTCCAAAGTCTGATACCCGAGCCTCCAAATTGCCATCAAGCAAAATATTACTTGACTTGATGTCACGATGTATAATCCTAGGAGAACAATCGTGATGCAAGTAGGCCAGTCCTTTTGCTGCTCCAAGAATGATATTCAAGCGTGACTCCCAGTCTAGTTGCTCAGCTCTCTCTGCAAAAGAAATTGTTAAACCACTTTCTGGAAACAAAGAAAACAACATATTTATAGCATACACCTTCAAACGTTCCCGAACCTTGAGGGTCATTAAATAGCATACATTGACGCACAAATAATAAATACCAAATATATTAAAACTGAAGAACATCTTTAATTGCTTGCCTAAGTAGAAAATAGGAGCGTTTTATATTTTCTCAGGTGCTGTCCCTGACCTACCAATTACCTATAGAGATGAGAGAGGACATCCATGCACATTAAACACATAAGATAAAGGTAAACTACACGAGGAGAATTTCTTCTTAATTCTGCGTTTGTATTTTAACGATGTACTGAGCAGTAAAATATTTTATGGGAGTAAACTCCTCATCAGTTTTTAGCAAATTCTTTTTCCTATAAGATTCAAAAGTGGCAAAACTTGAGAATTTCTTAAAATAAAAAGAAAACCCTCCTCCATTTAGTTGCAAGCCCTTCTCATATGGAAAAACCTAATGGAACTTAAAGGAAATTGAAAAAAGAAGAAGGGCTCACCATGAAGAGCTTCATCCAGGCTACCACCAGGTAGATAATCATAAATTAATAATTTTGATGTTGGTGAATTGCAATATCCTCGCAGATTTACTAGGTATCTATGTTTTATGCTTCCAAGAATTTCAAGCTCCCTCTCAAAAAACCGATCAAAACCTTCATTAAGCTTTACAATTCTTTTCAATGCAAAAACATTTCCATCATCCATTGCAAGCCTGTACACAGTCCAAAACCCCCGCAACCTATGATGTGCTCCTCATTCAGATTCTCCAACTTCTTAATAATATCCTTTGAAGAGTAAGGTAAATCTCCATGAAACATGACAATGGATGCACCTGAAGCAGCACAACCATATAAATTATATATGCTGAAAAACTTGGAATTAAGAACAAAGTAAAACCAAAGTGCAACAGCCAGATTTTTCCAAATGGTAGCCCAAAGAATGGTACAGAAATGCACCTCCACTGACATCCATTGCTAGGCTTCTGCTCT